CCCCGGGGGGGGGCCTTTGCTTGCCCCCCCCCCCCCCCGCCGCAAGGGCCGGCGCCCTCCGGGGGGGGCCCCCCAACCCTGCTTTCCCCTCACTTTTTTTTCCCCCCTTTTGTTCCTAATCCTAATCATAATAATAACCGCAGTTAAAAGTTTCCGAAGTCATTCCGGGAGCGGGAGCCCCTCTTGCTCGCCGCGGAGGCCTCGCTGGAGGAGGAGGGCCAGAGCTCGGGGGCAGCCAATCGCGAGCAACGCTGCTAGTTATCAGAGCAGAATGGGCTGTAGTTTAGTGAAATAGGAAAGCTGCACAACACCGTGGAGTGCTCCCGTGTAAATAAAAAGGGGGAAAAGTTTCTCAAGTCGCCGCTGCACGACGTCGGGCCGGCGCCGGGCGGGGGTCTGCGCTCTCCGGGGACGGCCGTGCGCTGGGCTGGACTGTGCCGCACAAGCCCCGTCCCCATTGTTTGTGCTTCTTTCAAAATATGGCAAAGGTTCAGGTGAACAATGTAGTGGTGCTGGACAACCCGTCTCCCTTCTACAACCCCTTCCAGTTCGAGATCACCTTCGAGTGCATCGAGGACCTGTCTGAAGGTGAGTGGGCGCCCGCCCGCCGGGCTGTCAGTTGCGGCTGCAGACGTTGAAAGTTTCCCGGGCCCGGCCTCGCGAGGGCGGCGGCGCTCGGCGCCGGGCGGGCTGCGGGCTCGGCTCTGGAGGGAAACTTGAAGTTGATGGACGACGGCCGCCGGGGCGCGGGAGGCGTTCGCCGTGGCCGGGCGCCTGCCGCCGCTCAACTTGCTCGGAACTTGTTGGGGCGGAGGTAGCCATGTTGTCAGCTTTGTCTGGCGGGCGGCGACTCGCGAGACCCGCACTCGCGCCCGCGGCGCCGGCCGGGGGTCCCGCCGGGCTGGCCCCGCGTCGGGAACGGCCTTGGCGGTCCCCGCGGCCCCGAAGGGAAGGCCGGGAAGGGAGAGGCGCGTCTGTGATCGCGCCGGCGAGTTCGCAGCGGAGCCATCTTACCCCGAGGAGAGGATCGGGCCACCGACCCGGCGTCACGACGCCTCCTCTCCGTGGGTGACGAACGCGGCGCCCGCCGGCCCACCTTCCTGCCCCGCGGAAGGGCGAGTCCCTGCTTAGAGCTAACGCTGGAGTTGCCTGCTCTCCCGGGTGGCCGTGGCCGGCCGCGGTGGGGAGGAGAGCGAGGCTGTCCTCGCGCTGATTTCTCGCTGCCTCGACCAACCAGCGGGGGAGGCGGGCGCAGGCTCCGCGCTCCGGCCGCGGGGGCCCGGCCCGCACTCGCCGCCGGCGCCGGGATGCTCGGATGCTCGGCGCCCGGGACGCTGGCGCACGGGCTCCCCCGACCAACGGAACTCCGTTCCTGGCGACTGAAGTCTTCTCTCTCGGGAAGAAAGACATTGCTAAGCTAGAGAGTCACATTTCACCCAAGAGCAGAAATAAGAAAAATACTTAAATAACTGCCAGGACTGAATCACTACTGGCTTCTAAGTAGTCTGAAAGGTTTAATTCAAAAACGTGTTGAAATCTAATGAAAATAACTCGATATCCAAACACCCTGAACATAAAACACGAAAGTGGGCTAGGAAGTAAAAGGTAAAGTCATAATGGCAATGCACAAATTTTGACAATTTTTTCTAAGTAATAAAAAAGTTAAATATTCTTAATATGTGCAGTGATAAATATTTAGAAAGCTGAAACTTGCCAAGGTTAATTCGTTGGGAATTTATTAAAATACTCCGCGCTTTATTTTCAAAATTTGAAGGGAGAAAGTTTAACTTCATCAATGGTAATTTAAAAATTTAAATAGGGGGACACACATCTTTGAACTTAACAAATCTATTTAACAAAGTGCATTTAATATTATTGTACTAATCAAAGCATATAAAGCACTTTCAACTTAAATTAGTTTTTAATCTATAAAATATATTTTAGGGTGTTAATTTTTTAAATTATAAAAATACGCACTCATTGTAATAAACTTTCAAAACATCATATAAGTAACAGTCCGCTGTACTCAGTGCCTTCCCCATTTCATTCTTGTAAGTAACCATAGTTAACACTTTAATCTGTGCTCTCCCATACGGTTTAAATACATTTATAAAGCATATATGCACATGTATAACATGTAGTACACATTTTGAAACTTTTTAAATTTCTAAATAGGCCATCTAAAATTAAAGGAGAATTTTCTTACTATTTTGAAACCATTTGAGTACTTTATCATAGTAATACTATAAACATTTCAGCTACCAGCCCCATTTTTTTTTTAATACTCAAGTCTAATTTTTCCCATCTTATTGCCATTGCCAATTGCATATAAAAATGGGTGAATGTAATGAAACCATTGATTGGTCCATTCCAACTTACACTATAGTGTTTTAGGCATTAGAAGTTCTTCAGATTACAGGTATTTCTCAAGTGATAACTTTCATTTTAGGAGACAATTCTGAACAAGGAAGTTAGATGACTAAAGATGTTGTTACAGGGCCTTGACATTGGATGGTTGAAGCCTGCCATTCATGGAGGCAGAACTGTGTTCCATTTTTTACTGGAATCTACTCAGTTAAATCACTTCAGAATTTTTACAATACTAATGTTAACAGTACACCTCCTTCCATTTGTATACTTCATTTCCCATGATACCTAGACTCGGCATTTATTTAGATTTTTCTTTTTTAAGAGTTTAAGCTGAGTCATACCAAAACTGCAAAGGAATCTTTCAAAAAGTTGCCATGCTTGTGTACTCCACCTAGAGGTTGTGTAAATTAAGGAAACCGAGTTTACTTGGCAAAGGCTTCTTATAGGTTCCATACTTTATACTATTGAAATTCTTTATTTAAAAATTTTTTCTTTTCACTTTATAATTCTGTCTCAAGTCCCAAGCCAGAGATGGGCCACCATTTTTGATACTTTAACTTGTCAATAGCCCCCTCATTGTTTTACGTTCCTTTAAAAGCTTTGTTTCAGAAAAAGCCTTGAGGAGTAATTGTATTTATTATTGTTTAAAATTTATTTTTACAATATGTTTTTCTTGATTTCAGAGAGAGGAAGGGAGAGAAAGAGAGATAGAAACATCAATAATGAGAGAGAATCTTTGGCTGCCTCCTGCACGCCCTCTACTGGGGATTGAGCCCATAACCCCGGCATGTGCCCTGACAGGAATGGAACTGGGACCTCCTGGATCATGGGTTGATGCTCAACCACTGAGCCACACCTGCAGTGCAGAGGAGTATTTGCTTTTAAAATAATTTAGTTGTTTCTAATAATGGCTACATGTTAGTTGAATACTTACAATGTACCAGAGTAAAGCATAGTGCTTCATACTTTCAAATTTTCCAAAGACTACATACTTTCAACTAGACAAGAAGTCTTGCCAAGTAGTGCAATTAGTTGAAAATTCCCTTGGTGAATCCCTCACTCCCAACACAAATAGATACTTGCAGTCTGGGATTACCATAATTAAGTGAAACAGTCAGTTAACTTTTAAAATAAATGAGTAAATGCCTTCAACTAATAACCTGTGCAAAGCATCTGCGCCTTTCCCTGCTTCTAATACAGGAAGAGGGGAATAAAATCTAAGTTCTAAGAATTCTAAGAATAAAACAATTGATGCTAATTTAGAAATGAGTACTGAGCATTTCAAACTCAGTGGTTACAGCAAGCATCCCATAAACAAAAATCAAGGCATTGGTGTTACCCTGAGTTACAGCCTAGATTATCTCCCCATGGCTAGAAGGGGAAGAATTTATCTAACTAGTTAAATTTTTGGAAAGAGCCCAGGCTTTGGAGTTGCAGAGACATAACTTTGATTCTAATTCTTTGATTTACTAACTATGAGTCTAGGTAGATTACTTGGCCTCTCAGAGCCTCAACTTCCTTGTTTGCATAATAGGTATAATTAAATCCATATGATAAAGCTATTGAAGTGTAAACAACAGGTGTGAGGTGGCCAGCATGTAATAGGTATTTTATAAAAGGTTTATAAATCATGACTGTGTTCCTGTCAGACCACAAATGCCAACTTATACCAATTAGGAGGCCAAGGGCTCTATATTTTGAGGTACAAATACATATGAAATGAACAAAATATGCAAATCTACACTTGACAATTCCTAGTCATATCCTCACTTGGCTAGTTTAATAGGTTCACACCCTTAAAACAGTCCTGCCGCTTGGCTTTTGGGTTACCTACCTCATTGGCCACTAGTTTTGTAACCTACTTTATTGAGTCTTCCTCATCTCCATGACATTTCTGGACAGTACCAAGGAACACTCCCTAGGAATCCTACCTATTTACAATTTCCAAACTTTTACCAGATCTATTAATTATCTCCACTTAGATATCTAGTAGACACCTCAAACTGAACAAGTCTAAAATTAATGCCTGATTGGTTCCCTCACCTATCTCCTATGCATGCACTCGTAAAGCGCGCATGTGCGCACACACAGTGAGTCTTGCTGCCTCTGTCTTTAAGATTTATCAAGAATGCGACTGCTTCTCACCCCCATGGTAGCCACTCCTAATCAAAACCCTACAATGGCTTCCCTTGCCTCTTACCGTAAAAGCCAAGTCTTCTTAATGGTCTTCTAAACTTTGCACAATCTCGCCACGCCCTTCACTCCCCAATGTCATGGTAATTTTACTCTTTGCTCATTCTGGTCCTGCCTTAGCAGTCTTGCTTTTTCTTGCCAAGCATGCTGCTACCCTATGCCTTTGTATTTGTTGCTTCTTCTGAGTAGATATTCATATTGTTTGTTTCCTCACTTAATCTTATTAACAAATAGATGATCTGTTGAGGTGTCAGATGCAGGACCCTGCATCTGAAAATGTGCTAGAAGCTGGAAAGAAATAAAATGGTCTAGCCTGGGACACAGCCATGAATGACATATTAGGTCCTCAGAAAATGACTACGGACTTCATAAGAGAAAGTATAAGCTTAAAGGAACATTTAGTTCAATAAATTGTAGTTTATAAATACTGTATGAATAAGTAGTACCTATACTATATCTGGTATCTATTTAGGGAATGAAAATACCTACACAGTTACACAAAAATGGCAACTCATGGTGACACTCGATTCTCTACAAGTAACCCAGCAACACCCTCCTCTGGGAGGGCTGGTGTAGTCTTAGCGCAGTGAATCCAAGAGGCAGTCCACACTGCTAACCCCCTGAGAGGCCCAGGAGGTCTCAGATGGGTTTCTCTCTCCTCCCCTGACCCTAAAGAGGAGGCTCCTTCACAAAAACAGTCTTTTTACTCATCTCTGGGTTCTCACAGAGCACACTGAAGGGTGTTCAATAAAATCTGAGTGATTGAATTTCACAGAACGCCGTAGTTGCACTTTGGTGTGTCTTGTTCTTCCTTGTGCCTTTCCCCACCATCTATACCAGGGGTGGGCAAACTTTTTGACTCGAGGGCCACAATGGGTTCTTAAACTGGACCGGAGGGCCGGAACAAAATCATGGATGGAGTGTTTGTGTGAACTAATATAAATTCAAAGTAAACATCATTACATAAAAGGGTACGGTCTTTTTTTTTTTTAAGTTTTACTCATTTCAAACGGGCCGGATCCGGCCTGCGGGCCATAGTTTGCCCACGGCTGATCTATACTCTTGTATCAAGTGGCAAGAGGATCCTTGGTTTCTCCTTCCCAATTTAAAGAACGTATGACAGGAAGGGGTGCATTGAAGAAGACACCTGACTCTGGTTCTGTAACAGTTAGGAGCTGAAGCCCCTTCTGAGCCACAGGGAAGTTGGTCAATGATTTTCCATTTTGGAGCTCTGAAGATTTGGATCTGTGCAACATAGTGGGGGCAGTCCTTCCAAAGCGTGGTTAGTAAGTTAAAATACGACATGAATGGAGGAGGGGGGTGATTCCATAGCCAAATACATTTGGGAAATGCCGGACTAATGTCACTGGGTTTTACTGAAGGATGTCTCAGAACGCGTCCTCTGCCGCTGTGCTTTATGAATCCTCAAGACAAGGCTGAAGCATTTCCAAAGTTTTGAGCCATACTGTTTGTGAGGAGACCTGCCCAGGTACTAGTGTTTCACAAAAGAGCATTTTGAGAAATTGGTACAAAATGTAAGAATTTCTTAAGGAGCCATTTAGTGCCTTCCTGGATTTTCTGCTATGAAAAGCCAATTTCAGCAGCCAGTAAATGGCTAAGTGGACATTAAAAGGGTTTTTGATGTCATATTGTAATATAATCACTGAATATGAAATAATGTTTTGGTTTTAACCCTAGACCTGGAATGGAAAATTATCTATGTGGGCTCTGCAGAAAGTGAAGAATACGATCAAGTTTTAGACTCTGTTTTAGTGGGCCCTGTTCCTGCGGGAAGGCATATGTTTGTATTTCAGGTAAGATCATTCTTGGTAAATATGTATGTAAAATATGTTTCTTAACAGACTACATCAGATGGTTCTCATCCCTTTCCTTGTGGGTTAAATCACTCTGCTTCTGCTGCATTCGCTTTTTATCTACTTCTCTCACGTTTTAGAAAGTCTCTGTGTTATGCAGGAACACCGCCTCTTGATTTTGTTTGCTGAGAGATGTTAATGTGATATTTACTTCAGGGATTGCACAGCATGCAGTAACTTTATACGTGGTGGTTAATTTTGGGCTTTTCTGTGAATAGTCTCTTAGTATCAGACTTTCAGGGGGGTGCTGTCCAGCAGCCCCAAACAGAGATTAAAGATGCACACTACTAATTGGTGTAGTCAGTCATATGCAGCTTTATGGTTTCAGCCACTAGGAGTGATGATAATATAAAAAAAGCAACAACTTGATATCACCATAATCAGTAATGAAGCTAGGTTAAAAGGTATGTTAGTAGAAAGAGAGATGTGTGATCTTGGGTCATTGGAATTGAAGTCCAGTTTACTAAAGTATCTAATCTACACATTTTATAAAGGGTTACTGTTATAAAGCTACTACTCTGTTTACTGACTGTGAGGGGAATTTCTAATATAAATATGTTCTCAGATATTACTGACAGTATTGAGATCTATGCCAAGATTGCAGCATTGTCTTCTGTATTCAAAAGTTCTTTATGCTAAATTATATAAAACTATTCAGTCACTTTACAATTATCCATGCTTATTAGATACTTATAATAGTTGAAAGAGTAACTAGCCACAGGTTTTTACAAAACTATTAAATTTATTGCAAATATTTCTACAACAGGGTCCCATCAGTTAAGTAGAACCCACAGAAGAGACTTCATCCAGAGAAAAAATGAACTCTTCCTATTGCTGACTCCTGTTTTCTCACTTCATAGATGAGACCAATTTAAATGAATACTGCTGCTCAGATAATCCCATGAGATATGGGCCAAGACTAACTCAAACCTATGGCATCTTTAGAGCTGCTATCTTTCCCTCCCCTCTCCTAAATAGGGAATTCCAATTCTTGGTCTCCTAGCCTGCATGCTTTTTATTAAAAAGCAGCAAATAATTTACTGTACCTAAACAAGTGGTTTAAAAGCTCAAATATATTAAAGTGCTGTTAACCCAGATTGTGTGAGTGCATAACCTTGGTGAAAGACATGGGTACCAGAGAATGAGTGTGTAGGGGAAGCACTGCAGTTATAGATCTCGTTCAAATCCCACTTCAGTGCTTATTATGCACACTAGTAGCCCTGCACACGAATCCGTGCGCCAGTTGCTCTCTGCCCACTGCCCCGTCCTCCCCCCTCATAGCTTGCTGCCCTGCCCCTTCCTGTAGCTCTCTGCCGCCCACTTGTAGCTCACTGCCCCAACCTCCTACTGATCTGTGATCCAGTCGTTATGCGGTCAGTCAGTCATGCTTCACGGACTAATAACCATTTGCATATTACATCTTTATTATATAGGATATGACTTCAGACAGGCTCCCTAACCTCTGTTAGTCACCTATAAAATGTGGCGAATATCCCACATCATAAGAATGTTTTGAGGATTAAACGAGGAATGAAGCAGTCAAGTACAATCACTGACAAATAGTGCCCTATTTCTATGTTTAGAACTAAAATTTCACTCTTTTAGCTTCTTTTTTTTTTAAAATATATTTTATTGATTTTTTACAGAGAGGACGGGAGAGGGATAGAGAGTTAGAAACATGGATGAGAGAGAAACATCGACCAGCTGCCTCCTGCACACCTCCTACTGGAGATGTGCCCGCAACCAAGGTACATGCCCTTGACCGGAATCGAACCTGGGACCTTTCAGTCCGCAGGCCGACGCTCTATCCACTGAGCCAAACCGGTTTGGCTCTTTTAGCTTCTTGAAATTGTTATATAAAGAAGTAGTATTTGCTCTGACCCACAAACCTGGAGAACCTGTCCTTTACTGATAATTCACGATGTAGTAAAGAAACTTAGTTTGAGATGCAGTGAGTGATATATGCACCTTTTTATGCCACTATAAAAACTTCTAAAGCAATCCCTTGTTTTTTAAACAAACCCTTAAAAATATGTCCTGTGTATTTGTTGTTAAGAACATTCCTAAGCTTTTGGCTTAGAGTGCTGGAGAAAAAAATTATTCAAAAATATTTGCTTCTAGTGGTTTTCCACTGGTTTTACCTTGGTAACAGTGCACATTGACAAAAAGCAACAGAGGAAGCACATGTGATTTAGATCATATGTTCAGCCCATAAGTTTTACAAAATGTACCATTATCAGCAGAAAGGGACTAAAATACAGTTATTGTTTTGTGCTTCAAATAAACTGCCATAGTATTCTCCTGATCTGTCCTATTTTGCCTCTCACTTCTCCATCCTATGACTTCTCCATCCTAAGTGATCCGAGAGGTTTACAGGTTTTTCTACTTAAATTTGCCCAAGCTGAATCCTTTGGCAAACAAATTTTGAACACAAATATGCCTAGAACCAATTTGCTGAAGGGATGTGAAGCACTATGCGGGAAAGTCCCCATCGCTCTTCTAAACTACCTCTCTATTTCTTATCTCTACCCACTTCCAGGTACATGGGAAACTCTTTGGGGACCCCGCAAATAATATAACACCTCCATGGAGGGATGCTCAGGATTTCTAAGATAAACAGCATATTTTCAGGACAGACTCTCTCTGTCCCCATTCTGGTGTCTCCAAAGAGATCATAAACCACTTCAGAGCAGGAACTGAGTTATGAACGAATTTCAAAATACTAAGTACACAGTGTGTGCTCAGAGCTGTGCCAGACATGAGATTATATATAAAGACGAGGCCTGATGCACGAAATTTGTGCAAGAGTAGGCCTTCTTTCTCCCCTGGCTGCCGGCTCCGGCTTCCCTCCAGGACCCAGGCTTCCCCCCAGCCGCCACCAGGCACCTGGGACCCAGGCTTCCCTTGCAGCCCTGGCTTTATCCGGAAGGATGTCCAGAAGGATGTCTGGTCTAATTAGCATATTATGCTTTTATTATTATAGATGAACTGGATGGGACTCCTGCCCAAGATAAAACTTAGAATGACAGGCAAGATTGAAGGGTAAACATATTTGGGTTGTTAGACATTGCTAGTAGAGGATTTATGTCAAGTAATATGAGTGCATAAAAAAGATTGCTATTAATTCTAACTTTTGAGCTAAGAAGAATATATTTGATGCAAACTTTAAATGATGAATTTTTCAGGCTATGAGGCAAGAACATTTCAGGCCAAAGGGACAGTGTATGCAAGGCAGAGGCATAAAAGATCACTCTATTTTAAAGAACCTGTGTAATTCCAGAACAAGAGTGAGAGGTGTGGAGTTAAAGCAGTGGTTCTCAACCTTCTGGCCCTTTAAATAGTTCCTCATGTTGTGACCCAACCATAAGATTATTTTTGTTGCTACTTCATAATTGTAATGTTGCTACTGTTATGAATCGTAATGTAAATATCTGATATGCAGGATGGTCTTAGGCGACCCCTGTGAAAGGGTCGTTCGACCGCCAAAGGGGTCGCGACCCACAGGTTGAGAACTGCTGAGTTAAAGGGAGTGTGAATGGAGATGTGGGTTGGAGACAAATTGTGAAGGGCCTTACAGGTGAAGTTAACTGAGATTTTTATCTTAGAAATGGGGGTAATCATCTGAAGTGTTAAAACCTGGTGAAGGAATAGGACTAGAACTGAGCTTAGGTAACTAATGCTGGCAACAGTGCAAATGATAGGCTAATTTAGGTCTGAAAATTATGACTGGGAAAGGTTGCAATAAATAAAACTATGGATTGTGTATTATATTTTATGAAAGGTTTTATAATTGAATATTGCATAAACCTCATAAATGACAACATGCGGTAGCCAGATTTATTTTACTCTGAAGTAGTGATGCTTTCAAGCACCCAGGGTACTTGGGTATTACTGTGGAGAAACATGTGAATTGTATTTCCTGGCTATACGTCAGTCTCAAAAATGAGCATTTGTCTTCCCCAATATGATGCCCTCAACTGATGGTGTTCAAAGTAACCAAAATTCTAGTCTTCCTTGTAGTTAACAGCCTTTTGTGATATGTGTTTCTTTTCTTTTAAAATTATTCTAGGCTGATGCACCTAATCCAGGACTCATTCCAGATGCAGATGCCGTAGGTGTAACAGTTGTGCTAATTACATGCACCTATCGAGGTCAAGAATTTATTAGAGTTGGCTATTATGTAAATAATGAATATACCGAGATAGAATTAAGGGAAAATCCACCAGTAAAACCAGACTTTTCTAAGGTAATGTTCTGACTGTTCCTTTTTACAGTTTTTTATGCAATTGCCATTTCACAGTGTACCATGAAAATGGTAAATTTGAGGTCCTCGTGCCAAGTAGGAAAACTAATCATGGTTCCATTACCATGGATGACCTCAGACTCTCTCTCCAGATGAGTCATAAGTACTGTTGGTCAGGCACCTTGAGTCTCTGATTTCAGAAATTGAAAATGCCTCCTGTGAAAAACAGACCTTTGTTTATGACTTTCTGTATGGCATTTCCCATACATCATAATTCTATTCATTTTAATCCTTAGGAGATTCAAATTCATGTTTGTTGTACTGATTATGCAATAATAGTTTTGTCTGTAACTCTTCTCAAAATTGCAGGAGGAAGTTTTATGTTTGTTTTTATATCAACACTGTTCTCAGAACATCTATATGCCTTGTTTTATCTGCTACTCTTACAAGTTTAAACTAAAGGTATTAAATATTTTTAGTGATAGAAAACAGCTTAGCTTCTGAGTGAAAAGTTGAAATCAATGATTCAATATTCTCAAAAATAATTAGTACTTTATGATTCCATTGGGAACTGTAACAGTTTAGTGATTAGTGATTTTTGAGATTGAATATAACACTACCATGTAAGAAAATTTACATAAGTAGAAAGTAATAAGGCTAGAATGTTTTTTTATCCTGGTGTAGGACCTTCCATTGATCCAATTTATTAGTTACCTGTATGGCACAGCACCTTGTATAGAAAAAAATGAAGAAATTAGAATGTTGGGGTTTTTTTTTAATCCTCACCCAAGGATATGTTCATTGACTTTAGAGAGAGGATGGGAGGGAGGGAGAGAAAGAAACCTTGGTGTGAGAGAGAAACATCAATTAGCTGCCTCCCATACACACCCCAACCAGGGACTGAACCTGCAACCTAGGTTTGTGCCCTGACTAGGAATCGAACCTACAACCTTTCAGTGTATGGAACAGTGCACCAACCAACTGAGCCACACCAGCCAGGGCTAGAACACTGTTTTTAAGAATGAGCCATAATAATTAAAAGGTAGGAAGCCACTAATAACGAGGTTATATTTGAGGGAATTTTTCATTCTCTTTGAAATATTACTGAAGAGACACCATATCTCTCTAGAAAGCATCCTCTGAAACATTCACCTTTTAAAAACAAAAGTACTGCCGAAACCGGTTTGGCTCAGTGGATAGAGCGTCAGCCTTCGGACTGAAAGGTCCCAGGTTCGATTCCGGTCAAGGGCATGTACCTTGGTTGCGGGCACATTCCCAGTGGGAGATGTGCAGGAGGCAGCTAATCGATGTTTCTCTCTCATCGATGTTTCTAACTCTCTATCTCTCTCCCTTCCTCCCTGTAAAAAATCAATAAAACATAAAAAAAAAAAAGTATTGAGGACTGGGTATTTTCTTGGATAGTATAAGTATGAATTCTTATTTTCATTAGGCTAGTTTCTTTGCAGCAGCCCTAGTTCTTCTTTATTAGTTATGTTTTAGGTGCTTTGACTTATACATTTGTATGTATATGAACTTAGCCCTTGTGGAGTATTAATATAAAGAACCATTCTATCAAGCTCCTGTTTGTACATGGTGATCTAACTTTCTTCATGTTTACGATTTATATATTTTCTTCTTCCTATAGCTTCAAAGGAACATTTTGGCATCTAATCCCAGAGTCACAAGATTCCACATTAACTGGGAAGATAACACAGAAAAACTGGAAGATGCAGAGAGCAGTAATCCAAATCTACAGTCACTTCTTTCAACAGATGCATTACCTTCAGCATCAAAGGGATGGTCCACGTCAGAAAACTCACTAAATGTTATGTTAGAATCCCACATGGACTGCATGTGACCACCTCCCATCTCTTTAGTACAAATTAAGCTATTAAAACACAGAACTATTTCCCTGAAATTCTGTAAGTCATACCCACTAAGATACAATGTGAAGAATTTGTTTAAAAACCATCCTGTAGAAAGTTTATAAGAAAACCAGTATTTGAGCAAATTGTGGAATATAAATACAACTATTTTTAAGTAATTTTTCTCTAATGTGTTATTTTATTTGTTCTGAAACTAATCTGATTAAATCATATATATTATTTTCTTTATATGTAATTAAAGCACTTATAAAGAAATATGAATCACTGGACCAGGTTGTAAAGATGTCTTAGCCTCTTGGACAATAATCTGTGGACCACTATTTTACTGACCTTCAAAAGAACAAAGTTCACTTCAACTAAAATGTTTCTTCCTGTAATAACATAGTTTGGTTTAATTTAAGGAGTGAATTTCCATTATTTTTTGGCATATCCTTAAAGAAGGGATTTGAAATCAATTATATGCTACCAAGAACTTTAGAATCTGAATTTCCAGGCCATCTTGAAGCCTTCTATGGCTACTATTGTAGTTCATGTAATGTTAGATAGCATTCATTTTGTTTTCTAAGATAATAACAAGTGTGGTTAATTCTTTATAAAGTCCTCTGGCTATGGTTTTTGTTTTTATGAGAGTTTAGGACATCAGAACACTTAATGAATCATACACATCATTACCCAGTGCAATCAACATGTCAAGAGCAAATACAAACTCCCTCAGTTTAAAAACAGGAGAATATAATGACTTAGATCTGTTCATTAGATTTATAATAATACTATAAACTTAACTCTTTAAAACTGTTTCATAGATCATCTGTTGTTAGCATTTATATAAAAACTGGATTTGGGGCAGTATATTTAGCTTTACCCTAACAGGTAAGTTATTATTTTGGAAATGTATATATCTTCACACATGTAGTACTCTTTCCATTATCCCCAACACTCATGCAGAATAAGATTGACATATTCTTGATAGCTTTTCCAGATAAGTTTTTTTAAAAGCAGTCTTGGAAAGGAATTCATAAACTAAATGGGCCAAGAGGTTCTTTTTCTTTGTTAAGAGCTAGGTCCTTCCTCAAAAAGTTTCTTATGCTCCATTAACTTAAGTGTAGAATATTCTCGTTGCTCTTGCTGCTAAGCAAGACATCAGCCATATGATGCAGAGTTATGCAGTGCCTTCATATCGGAAACTTTTATACTATACTACACTTTAAAGCTTTTATTTTGAGGAAGAGAAAAGGGCATTTGTCTGAATATGGAATCTAAGTTGTACATATTTCCTGTCATTCTAAAAGTGAATTTGTGAAGCAAAATTTTGCTAAACGTTAAAGTTTGAAATTTAATATACCAGATTATTAAAATACTATCCACTAGTTCATAGACTATAAAAATAAAATACATCCTACTGTCAAAACTATAAAGAAAAATTTTATTTTTGTCTAGTTGCAATGAAAATAAAATGTTAAAAGTATTAAAATAAAAATAAAAGTAGTATTTTCCAACAAAGAGCTCAGTGATTAATATAACGGGCAAGATATGTGCTTATTAGAAATAAAGCATATATAAGCCAGATTACCAATTATATTTCACTGCTAAGGTGTGTTTTAGTTTTTTTTAAATTGATTTTTAGAGAGAGAGGGAGAGGGAGGGAGAGAGCAACATAGATCAGCTGCCTCCTGCATGCCCCCTACTGGGCTTTGAGCCTGCAATGCGGGCATGTGCCCTGACCAGGAATCCAACAAGCAACCTTCGGGCACAGGATGATGCCCAACCGAGCCACACTGCTGAGTTTTTATTTTGATAAATTATAATACTGGTTTGTATTGACAACTGAGGGTTAGGTTTTTTTATTGTAAATGGACAGCCAATTTTCACAGAAGTTTGCGACTTTAAAACTATTATTAAAAATTATGGTTCTATGCCCTAGCCCAGGGGTGGGCAAACTTTTTGACTCGAGGCCCACAATGGGTTCTTAAACTGGACCAGAGGGCCGGAACAAAAGCATGGATGGAGTGTTTGTGTGAACTAATATAAATTCAAAGTAAACATTATTACATAAAAGGGTATGGTCTTTTTTTTTTTTTTTTTTAGTTTTATTCATTTCAAATGGGCCGGATCCGGCCTGCGGACCGTAGTTTGCCCACGGCTGCCCTAGCCAGTTTGGCTCAATGGATAGTGTCAGCCTGTGGACTGAAGGGTCCCAGGTTCGATTCGTGTCAAGGGCACATGCCTGGGTTGTGGGCTTGATCCCACTGTGGGCCTGCAGGAGGCACCCAATCAATGATTCTCTCTCTCCCTCTCCCTTCCTCTCTGAAATCAATAAAAATATATTTTAAAAAAAATATGGTTCTATAAGATAATTTTAAATATTAAAATTAAAGTAGAAAAATTTAGAATTCAAACATTAGGAACTGAGAAACTAGTTTTTCCCCCCCATTTAGCCTCATTTACAGACACTATGAATTATGACTAGAAGGTTTAGAACTATTTTTCCCCTTTTTGATCATAGTAAATAGCTGTGTCCTGGGAAGATAAATAAAAACAAACAATATGCCACAGAAGAGACCGAAGGGGAGGTTGGAGGGAATGAGGGTATCATCTGAGCTGAGAAAACATTCAGAAATCGGAGGAGCATGCTTTGTTCAGCTCCTTAGAATGGAGCTCTCATTATGTAGGACCATTAATGGAGATTTGCTGCTTTATGATAACTTTAAAATATACACTTCTCATAAGAAATCTGAGCACAGGGTTAGGCTCCCCTGACAAGTAATAAATAACATTTATAAAATGTGTAAGATCAAAGGCCCATTATAGAAGAACAGGAGAAATATTTCCCCAGTCAAAATGGAGTAAAAATACAAAATGGCATCAAACATGTCTTTTAAAATATATTTTTCCTAAAGTCACTTTGTAATCAAATCTTGATATCCTATCTGCAAAGGCTTTTAAATGCATTGTTGAAGAATCATTAGAATGTGTGAATAAAGCTGCACAATGCAATGATGAAAAGACACTTTTCACATATTAAGACATTTTCTGCCTAAGAATTTTCCACAGGAGCTTCCATTGCCCGTGAGATCTATGAGCATAAAAATGCCTTAAGCACAACATGATCTATCTATGTAAACTGAAATTTTTACCCTCCTATTTAATTATTCCAGTGTTCTGCTCACTGGGTCCTCAAACAATGCCAGGTAATACATACTTTTTCATGCATAAGTATGTATGAAGATAATCACTAGATTATGAGAAAAGTGAATAGCATTATTCAAAACTAAGATGCAAAAAGATATATAGAATAAATTTTTGGAAAATAAGTGATGGTGGAGCCTTTAAAATATTTTCTTAAGAGCTACAAAAGAAATGCTACATATTTCCTTCCATTTTTGGCAGTAACTCAGAAATTAGCTTGAAATTGATCATATTGTAGGTACTTTTTAATAAGAAAGAAAACCATTGTATTAGTTTCTGTAGTGACATTAAATGAAATTGTCATGTAAAATACCTGCACTAGTAGATCCAATTCCTGTGGTAAGCACAGATCTTGGTGTAATCTTTGCTGCATATTTGAGGAATTGAGATTTCCCTGTGCCAGGATCCCCAACCAATAAAAGATGAGATTCACCTAGAAAAAAGTAAATGTCAAGTTTTAAATTTCTATGAACAAGTATAATTAATCAAAAAGAAAATGGTCTACTTGGATTGTCAACACAATGTATAATTTATACTAGAGGCCCGGTGCACGAATTCGTGCATGGGTGGGGTCCAGACAGCCAGCCAGCCAGCCCCGATGGGGGCCCATTGGGCCAGGCTGGCCCGGGGGGAGGGGCCGCGGGTAGTTGGCCGGCCGGCCCCGCCCCCGATCTGGGTGTTGGCAGATCAGGGGTGGGGCCAGCCAGGGGGGCGGGCCCAATTGGAGCCTGGATCAAGCTGGTTGGCTGCTGCAGTGTGTGTCATAGCCACTGGTCGTTCTGGTCGTTCCGCCGGTCCAGTTGCTGGGCTTTTATATATATAGATAATGCTTTTGCTGTATACTTGGTCATTTGAGAAAAGATTTAACTAAAATATCTTTAGCAAAGTTAACTGTCATCATAAATAACAACCTTTAAATGATTTCTGAAGGTGACATTTAAAATAAAAATTTTCTTAATAGACTTTGTGTTATTTCTAGATGTCCAGGCCTATGTTTACTGGTTTTTTTTTAAATTTGGCTTATAAAGTTTCTGATTTTATTTATTATATTTTTATTTGAGCACTTTGAAAAAGTGGAACTTTTACCTTGGCCAGTTTATCTCAGTGGTTAGAGCTTTTAACCAAAGGGTCACAGGTTTGATTCCTGTTTCCTGGTCAAGGGCACTTATCTAGGTTGAAGGTTTGTTTCCACCCCAGTCAGGGCATGTGCAGGAGGCAAGCAATCGATGTGTCTATCTCACATCAATGTTTCTCTCTCCCTCCTCCTCCTTCCCTTCCCCTCTGTCTGAAAATCAATGGGAAAAATATCCTTGGGTGAGAATTTTAAAAAATAAATAAAAAATAAATACAGAATGCTGGGGGGCGGGGGCAGTGGGAGCGACTGGGGAGAGGTCAATGGGGGAAAAAGGAGACATGTAATACTTTAAACAATAAAGAATTTAAATAAATAAATACTGAAAATGTGGGACTTTATAAGTGCTTTATAAATATATCATTTATGATTCCAACAGTTAAGTGAAAATCTTTTCATTTAAAAAAAATTTTAGTTTAATGAAATATCTATCTTAAAGTACTCTTCTTTTTCAAATGTAACACAAATGAACATGAATATCCTGTGGTTGTATTATATCACTGATCAAACAAATTCCTTCAGTAATATTTAAGTATTTTCTAAATCTATTAATAGGAAACTCCTCTTTAGGCACAACATTTAGCAGAGTGCCTTGCAAACAGTGGGTGATCAAAACATACCATACACGTAACCCTTATGACATTTACTGGTCTATATGCAGTACATGGTTTTAGAGTACCGACTAACCGCCTGATTGACATTAATGTATTTGGAGTCTTTTGATCTAGTCTTTGGTTATTATGACTCTCATATGCCCTATACAAAGACCATAATAAACCTACTTTACGCCAGATTCAGGTCAGTTAAGTGTGTTAGCAGCAAAAGAGCTTTCTGCCACTTGGACATAATTACATACATAGAGTAATCTTTGCCTGAATGTGTGACCTACAGCAGCACCAAATGGCAGATGGCACATTTGCAACCCACCGGCAGAAGGGGAATCAGCAGGCAGATGACTGAGAGCAGCAGTCTGAGAGAAACACACTGACAGTCACAGATGGAGGGACGCTGACTTGGTGACATTAAAAAGCACTATTTCTAATCTTTTTCTTCTTTTTTAAACAAATTTTTTAAAAGATATATATATATATATATATATATATATATATATATATATTTTATTTCAGAGAGGAAGAGCGAGAGAGAGAGAGAGAGAGAGAGAGAGAGAGAGAGAGAGAGAAACATCAATGATGAAAATCATTGATGGGCTGCCTCTTACATGCTCCCTACTGGGGATTGAGCACACAACCCAGGCATATGCCCTGACAAGAAATCGAATCGGAACCTCCTGGTTCATAGGTCGAAGCTCAACCACTGAACCACACACTGGCTGGACTCTAATCTTTCCCTCTTAAAGATGGTGGATCTGATGAAAAACACAGACAGTAAAAGAAATGTGAAGATTTTGTGACACCCTGAGAGCTTAGAGAAAAACTTACTCATTGAAAAATTTATGATTTCTTTTAGTCTTTGGAATTCTAGAAAGTAGCTACTGATATACAGATGTTGGGCTAAGTATTAGCCAGACAACTGTCAGCTTTAAAAGACTACATTTGGAAAGTAAAGCTCAAAAAGCAATTTTTACTCAGGAAAAACAAATTCTCGTTTCTCTTCTTATGTGTTACAACTTTTCAAAAGTTTTAAATAGGTACTAACCTCTGACTCGTGTTCCTGTAGCATCCGTCCTTTGAATCCCACCAGCCAGTACCATGGCCACAGCAAGCTTTACTAGATACATCCCAAAAACTTGAGGGCATAAACTGGCCAATATTTCATTCCTTCCTAGAAAAGGTAGAAAGACCAGAAGTTGCCAACAATTTTTAAGAAATCATAACTGAAAATTTCCTCCCTACCCTATAACACACTCCACCATCTAAAATGATTTAAAGGCCCTGGCCCAATAGCTCAGTTGGTAGAGTGTCATCTTGGTATGCCAAGGTTGAGGGTTTGATCTCCAGTCAGGCACATACAAGAATCAACCAATGAATGCATAAATAAGTGGAACAACAAATTGATGTTTCTGTCTCTGTCTCACTTCCTCTCTCTAAAATCAATAAATAAAAAAATAAAATGATCAAGAGGACCATTTCCAAATGACTAAAAGCAGTGAATGATTTAGTTCTCTTCTTAATGCCATGAGGTGAAATGTCTGCTTTATTCCTGGGTGCTACCTGCTTAAGTTTCCATAAATTTATCATACTTTAGAGGGGACAGAAAAGAATCTCATTTTCTCCTTCATTAGGCTAGCATTACCCTTAAAAATAGAGCTGGCTGCACTTTCTGTGCAGTAATTTTAGTAAAATTACTACACTGTGTAAATAAAAGGAGAGTGCTTGATCTCAGAACAGTAAGTTGGATTGTAGGAGCCAGAACCTTTACATACAGATACTTGGAACTTCTCCAGGGGAGTCAGAGAAATAAAATCAGTCCACCCTGTGAGGCAGTTCAGCATTTGCTCTGAGCAGTTTGGTAAATTCTGTTTTACTTAGAATAAGTTACTAGTAACTAGGGTATCAGGATATTAAGACCATTATAAGCTTTAAGTTCGCCAATCCAAGCTGCAGGTCTTGGATTCCTCTGATCATGTGCTTTAAATAAGAGACTATCAGTGTTTTAGGATCTGTTTTCAAAAATGTTAAAACACCAAATCTGAGACCCTGCCTATCCCATTCATGAATAAAGTAGGTATTTCATTCGGTTTCTGGCCTAATCAACCAACAGAGGAACATGAGAGTCTAGCAAGCCTTGCCTGAGCCTGTCTAACACAGAATTCACAACTAATGGTGCTGTGTCTACGTTCATGTTACCAGAAGTTAATGTCCACATACTGGTAACTAATTTGCATGTTTTGGGACTTTTATACTTATCTGAATTTTTACTCATGTTTCAGTGATAGCTATTTTGAGGTGAAAATAATTGTATGAGTACTCCTATAGCTGAAGATTCCAGTTCCAAAAGCTTTCCTGCCAAACCATCAAGGAAGAGAAAGAGCCTTCCTCTACAATTTATGGGCCAACACACAAAGGCTCCTTTTGGTAATATATCCAAATTGCCTCATAATCTATGGGAATATGACCTGGGATTGCAGAAATGGTGAAGAAAATATTTCAGTACAACAGGGACCAAAAAGAATTAGTAAATCCTAGAGGAAGTTAATTGACTGCTGGAGGGAATCCATTCCATTGCTGTGGTAGAAAAGCCAACTAGGCAGAGTTGGGCTGAGGCATCTATACTAATAAAAGGGTAATATGCTAATTAGGCTGGGAGAACGGACATCTTCCTACCATATGACTTCATTCTGGACAAAGCCATGGTGGTGGGGGCAGAGGCAGAGGCGATTAGGGTCGAACAGGCCAGCAGGGGAGGGCAGTTGGGGGCCATGAGGCCGGCAGGGGAGGGCAGTTTGGGCCATGAGGCTGGCAGGGGAGGGCAGTTGGGAGCCATGAGGCTGGCAGGGGAGGGCAGTTGGGGGCCATGAAGCCAGCAGGGGAGGGCAATTGGGGGCCATGAGGCTGGCAGGGGAGGGCAGTTGGGAGCCATGAGGCTGGCAGGGGAGTGGTTAGGCGGTGATCAAGCTGGTAGGCAGGCAAGTGGTTAGGAGCCAGCGGTCCCGGATTGTCAGAGGGATCCGGGATTGGAGAGGGTGCAGGCCAGGCTGAGGGACCCCCCCTCCCCCCGCACAAATTTTGTGCACCAGGCCTCTAGTCCTATATAATAAAAGGCTAATATGCAAATCGACCAAACAGCAGAATGACCAGTCGCTATGATGCGCACTGATCACCTGGGGGCAGACGCTCAATGCAGAAGCTGCCCCCTGGTGATCAGTGCACGAGAAGCCAGGCTCACAGCTGGCAAGTGCAGCAGCAGTGGTGAAAGGAGCCTCTCCCGCCTTCATGGCAGCACTAAGGATGTCAGTCGGACATCCCCCGAGGGCTCCTGGACTGCGAGGGTGCAGGCCGGGCTGAGGGACGCCCCCCCCTCCCCCCGGCTGAGTGCATGAATTTCATGCACCAGGCCTCTATTTGTGATTAATAAGGAATGACTGTGGTCCAAGGGAGGGTTACAGATTTTTATAAGGACCTGATCCTAAGAAATAATTTTAAGAAAAAATATTCTTTAAAAAATATGATTCCTAGAAGGTTTGCTTATAAAAGCCACAATATAGAGACCTGTGGTTCTTTCTGTATAGATCAGGTAAAAGAATGATCATATGTGCTACACACATAAGCAAAAAAATATATCATGCCACAAAATAAAAGCAAACTGCCTCTATTTTGGCAAATCAGGGCCTTTTTTGTGTGGGTGTAATGATAACTATCCAATTCAGATGTGATTTAAGAATAAAGTAATCACTATGTAGTTGATTGGAGATGAAGTTTATTAGAAATAGCCTATTACTGCCCAGTCAGCATGGCTTAGTGGTTGAGTGTTGACCTATGAACCAGGCCATGGTTTGATTCCTGGTCAGGACACGTGTGGGAGGCAGTTGATCAATGATTCTCTCTCATCATTGATGTTTCTATCTCTCTTTCTCTCTCCCTCTCCCTTCCTCTCTGAAATATTAAAAATATATATATTTTTAAGAAGAAAATGTTGTTGTTGTTGTTTTTTTTAAAATATATTTTATTGATTTTTTACAGAGAGGAAGGGAGAGAGATAGAAAGTTAGAAACATCGATCAGCTGCCTCCTGCACACCTCCTACTGGGGATGTGCCCGCAACCCAGGTACATGCCCTTGACCGGAATCGAACCTGGGACCTTTCAGTCCGCAGGCCGATGCTCTATCCACTGAGCCAAACCGGTTTCGGCAATGTTGTTGTTTTTTAAAGTAACAGCCTATTACTGCCTTTGGTTTATTTTTCTCAGAAGATACCTCCAAGGAAGAATGAAAACAGGCATTTGAAGATTTAATTGGTGTTTTATACATTTGGGATTTTTATTAAAAATACTTTATAAACTCAAAGGCTGTGATGTTTTAATCTATGTAATTATAGCTTAGTGTCATAATCAAAATTTTTGCTGTGATGACAGCTTATTTTTTGCATCTTTCCATCTTTCTCATCACTTTTCTACGTAGCTCCTATTTTTAAATCTTCAGCTAAAATCATGTGAAGATGTCCATATAATTTAAAGGACATCAGACAAGGTGTCATAATAGGATGAGTTTTTCCTATTTAAGGTAAAGAAGGTAGAAAATTCTGAAACTACTTTGGCAGTATAAGATGTTAAAATTGTTAGAAATGAAAAACCTCTTGGAAGCCAGCCTTATTTTTCCATATCTCTAAATAGAAGAGGCTATGCCAGAAAAGGGCTTCAGGGGAGGCTGTGGCTAGAGGCACTGACTGATGCTACTACCCTGTGCACTCAGTCGCTGAGTTATGGGACATGTAAGGCTACCCCCAATCAGAGACAACATGTTTAACTACTGAATGAAATGCCATTAATAATTATCAGCTTTATACCCTTAATCACAAACCTGCAAAGGGATCACTCTTATAGTGTTCCCAAAAATCTTCAAATTCCTTTCGGACCTCCTCATCCATGATGATCCCTGCAGACTGCTCATTATTTACTTGGACATAATTGGCTTTCAGGACTATCTCCACTTCACAGCGCACATCTCGCTGAAAGGGCTTCCACCGTTGCATGACAACCCCATAGATAGTGAGGTCATCACCTAGGAAAAAGCACCAAGTGAGTCCAGCAGTAGCACTCTGCATACTGGGCACAGACTCCCATGACAAAGGACAAGGACATAAACCACTTCCTGACCACGGTTCAGAGTGCTATACACTCATCCAACACTCATTCGGAAAACAATTTGGGTGAAAAAACCACCAGAGATTCCTAATTTTTTTAAAAACAGGCACTTGTATCTGTACAACTAAAAGCAAAAGTCAGCATTTTTATTTTTTCTTAATCTGTCACATTATAATCGCACCAAATTATTACCCTTCACTGGGAAAATAGTTTACTGGATGACATTCATCATTATCATATTGGGTGAAAGGCTCATCCTCTCAGAATCTCAAGCCACAGAGATTTCATTAAAGAGGTGAGAAATGCAGCCAAAAGATTAAACTATAATCAGTTTGCTGTCAGGAAGGAAAGAATTTAGTGATGACATACTACTTTTAGTAATTTATAGATTAATTTTTACTTAACACATTTACTAACATTGTATTCACTAACTTTTTTTTAAATGAACAAAAGAATGAATGAACAAAGTAATGAATGAATGAATACCTGTTCTACATCAAAACAACTTTGAATAGACTATGAAAGCCCAAAAGACAACCCTGCTTATTCCTTCTTGGTTGGTTCCTTCCCACCTTAGGAAACTCTCTAATTCCTAGTGGACAGGATAGTAAACTTTTACAGATTTTCCTAAGAGGCCTTGGTAGTTTATAGGCACCTTCTCCAAACACTAACTTCTGTGCTTATTACATACAATTCAAAACATCAGTAACAAATTTTTACGAATGCTTGCCATTCAATATTTTGGCACTGGGAAAGACAAAATCCTAGTCCCCAGAGATTTCAATCTTATTGAACACAGGATGTTGGACATCCCCCAAACCCAATCCTGGTGTTTATATTTTGCACAATAATATTGTCTCTGAACTAACAGGCACATCTTTATTTCCAAGGTTGTGTCAAATATATATTTGCTGGTGCAAAATGCCTTAGACTCTAAATTTTAATATGCAATGTGTAATCCACACAGCTTTTGATTTTCTGAAGTGTACTGTAAAGGCTAAATGCATGGAACCAATGGTAGCAATTCACAGAATAGAAAGCATATTTCTAGCCAAAGGCAACTTTATAAATAACAAATAGGTGCTTTACACTTGTTTTTAAAATCCTTTCCAAGCTACTGCCTGGTGGTTTTCAAACTCAATCAAGAATAATGATCATTTACTATATTGTCTACCCCAAATTTTGTAGATGAAAATAACTGGGGCAACTTTATATGCACATTGGAACAATCCTCTACTAGGGTCATTTTATGGGTTATAATTAGGTTGTTCCTAATTTAGTCAAATGAGGAACTTAACTTTTAAATATAGTACATACTAGTAAAAATCTGACTTCAATAGCGGTGATAATGTGGAAAATGTAGAGTACTGAAGAATGGCCAAGAACACTGACTCATTAGATTTAAACTTAAATCCCAGCTCCACCACTTACTGGTTATGTGACCTTCGGCAAGTTACCTAACTTTGCTGAGCCTATGTCTTGACCTACAAAATGGGAATAATTATATTTATATCACAGGACTATAGTGATAATTAAGTCAAATAATGTTTGTAAATTAACACAGTATCTAGAAATATAAGTGCTCAATAAATATTAGCTATTATTATACTAAACCTAACCTTACATTTGTAGAGCAATTGATACCTTTAAAAAGCCCTTCATATATACATGTTTTGAATGGCAGATTCCTGTGATCATCAGAACAATTATGGGGTACATGTGACACTCCAAGTGAATACTCATTTTAGTTTTCTATGGTAAAAATTATAAACAATGTTATTTGCAGAAAGCTAAATTTGTTACTTTCATATAATCCAGTCCAGTCACTTTGTGCTATTCTGTCTTCTGCAGTGTATTTACTACTGCAGCCATCCCCATCAGACCCATCTCAGATCTGCTGCCCTGCCAGCTTTCAGCACATAACCTCCAGCTTTATTACTTTGCAACGTCAGTTTGGGTTCCTAACTAGACTGTAAATTCCCAAAGGACAAGGATTATGCCAATTATGTCTTTTGATATTTACAGAAGTTTATAGCTATGGATAAATGAAAAAATAGCTGTTGACCGACTGCTTCCATACATTCTTTTTTATTAGTGACCTGTGAAAGGAAAATACCTTAAGGTGTGTTTTTTTCTGTGTAGAAAGAATTCAGTTAGATGAAATCTCTGTCAAAGGATAATTTCATGTTCAGGCTAAGCTCATATAAGCACTGCTTTGCTGATCCAGACATTACAGATTTAGGTTAAAATCTAGGGTCCTATATGAACAAGGTACTCTGACACAGACCTGTCCATTTAGCAGGAAATCCATGATCAAAGCTGTTATTTCCTTAGTATACTGTTTAGATAACTATAAATTGTTAATGTATTTGACATAAATTTCAAACTACACTGAGTGGCCAGATTATTATGACCACCCCATCAGTACTTCATTGACACTTCCAAAAATACTGAATATTGAAAACTTCCTAAGCAAATATTCTCAAGGTTTTATTATTATTATTATTTGCATAACTAATCCACTTCATTGTATTGATGGGGTGGTCATAATAATCTGGCCACTCAGTGTATGAGTTGGTGATTCCTGGATGAATGGGGGAGTCTTTTGATAAAGAATTATTAATGACTCTAGATAATGAACTCTTTTATTTCCATACAGTGTTTGCCTCATCATTTTAATATCAGCTCAGTAAATATCTTCTAAATGAAGCATTTGGAGAAATCTAAGGTTAAAAAAAGGGAAATGATAGAATTTGGCAAAATGAAGCATTTTCTATCTGACTTTAGGGGAGAACTGGAATGTGGAGTAAGAGATCAGGTATACCTGTTATTGCCCAGCATATCCAACTGTGCTGTTTTTATAGTTGAAGAGTGCTTTAGAGAAAATGGGAAATATTTAAAGCAGGTGAATTGAAAGGCAACTGCTGATATTCAGCTAAGTTTTAGCAATCATTTCCATTTTCTGACCCGCCTTCAATTTAACTTAAATGTCAAAAAAAGGAGTGGAAATCGTTAGGCAATTTTTAGATTAATTGTAATAACAGTTAAGAAAGAGAAAGGATAAGCTCTCATTTCTCCTCACAGACAATGGTCTGGATAGGCCTGGGAATGCATGCAGGGAACAGAAGATGCTGGATTAAGGGGACAGGCTTCCATTCTCCTTTTCTTGGGTTGGAAACTGGAGCCTTAGCGAAACTGATGAAAGATGTGTAGCTCTGAGGACAACTTTGTTTGGGACTGAGTCTACAAACCCAAGACTCTCAAGCTCTATACCAGAGTCTTCTGTCAGTATGGGAAGATGACAGTGAGGAAGAAGTATGGATGAGGATACCTGTGTTGATATATGGAAAACATCAAGTACTTTGGTTAGACAAAGTTTTTGATTAAAACTTTAAGATGATCACTTTGAAGGCAGTCTGCTTCTATCTGTGATCTGTACCCTTTGCTGACCAGTGCCATGTAAATTTTAAGCCCTACCCTCTACCAATAGCTGAAGAAAGCAACCCTTACTCTCTCATTATCAAGCTATCACCAACACATACATTTAAAAAAACATACCAAATTTTATTAAGAATATCACTTATGATATTTAAATGTGGTTCCTGCAAAAGACAGAATAGTATTTACTGTTTGGGTGGTACTGCTAATTTACAAAACCTTCTAATATCTTAATTTTTCAAATAAAACTTTTCCCTACCATTTTCTTTGTAAAAACAAAAGTTTAAAAGTCAATGTAGAACACTTCCATTCTATAGCCGTGGGCTGAGATTAATCCTCGCCCTTCCACATGTACTTCTTAAGTTTGCTTCTTCCCAGGCTCTCCAGTGAGAAGAGTAAGAGGAGACAAAGTTGAGAGGGGCAAAGGAGAGCTTAGGAATTATCTGTCTGGCCTAAAAATTAAAGTAGAACTAAGAAGGACATCACAACAACCAGGCTTCTGGAGCCTCGGACTTTCAGAACAGCTCTGAGGCCCAGAGAGTCTGTAATTTGCCTGGAACACTGTAGATCTCCAGATCATGAGACCTAAATAGGTAACAAGACGCTGCACATCCTCTGCTTAAACTCACCATCATCTAAGGCCCATGCTGGACACTTCTGATTAGTAGATACTGAGTCTACCTTCCTGCACCTCCAGCCCACTGAAACCCAACAACTCTTCTGTACTTTCAATTCCATTTCTATATGACAATCTTCCAACAAACAGAAGTTGGTTGTCATCTCTTTCCTGAGGCTTATCCATGTTAACCACCCACAGCTCTTTCAGTTTGATTCAAGTTCCTTCCCAGTTCAGGCAATTGGCTAGTGGAAACACTGAGGACCCTCGGAGGACAGAAGACCAGCACAGAGCAGAGAGAAACAGTCACCTTCTTTCTTCTAGACACCATTGAGGCTGCAGCAGCATTTGACAGAGTCAGACCCTCTGAAGCCTATCCCTCCTTGTTTCTGTTCTTATCTAGTTGCCCACTAAAACCAACATTTTTAAAGTTGCTCCTGTGAAGCGATGGTGCACTGAAGAGCGTCCCAAACTAGAAGTCCACAGATCTGGGTTCACGTTCCAGTTCTGGCACTTAACTTTCCAAGGGACCTTAGGCAAGTCAGGTTCTTCATCTATAAAACAAGCAGCTGGACTAGATCGCTAAGCTCCAGCCCAGCTTCTTTCCTGCTGTCCTGTCCCACCTCCATGCCAGTCTCTGTTCTCAAGGTAGGCAATTAAGTCTCCACACTCACTCTTGGGAAAATAAAGTGGTTTTCTATATCAATATGTTAGGACCTCCTATATAAGCTAACAAAAGTTCATTCTTACCAGATTTGCAAGTGTCTACTAAGTCGTCTTCTAGAATAACCTTCATGGATCGTGGAATATTTCCAATAGCTAGCCTTTGAACCTAGCAAAGAAAAGAAAACAGATACTGAATATGCTTAAATATGTGCTAAGTATTCTGAAGTCTAGCAATTCTTGAAATTACCATTTATATTTCTCTAGTATTGTAATACAATCTAACTTTGATAGGGATTCAGACTTTTCTTGTAAATTGTGCATACTATCAGTTTAAGAATTCACTATAACTAAAATAAAATAAAAACACCAATATTTGGAAAACATCTGCAAATATAATCTACCTTGTGGATGGTCAAAATAATTCCAACTACTAAACATAATAATAAAGTTATATACCCAAAATAAAAAGGCAGTTCTTTCCTGATTTCTAGTCATAAGACCTGTTCCTTAGAAACAGGACCCTGGTTTTATTCTACATGAGCAAGTGCCCAGTAAAAAGACTGAATCTCCCAGGCTCCCTTGCATCTAGGTGTGCTCATATGACTAAGTTCTGGCCAATGAGATGTAAGTAGACATGTTATAGGAGATTTTGAAGGAGACAACTTAAATGGACACTTAGGTGACATGGCACGTGGTTCTGCCTATCCTCCTTTTTTCTGTTCTCTGACTAGGATACAGATGTGATCGAATTGTAGCTGCCATTTTGGAATATAGACAACCATAAAAACAGAAACTATGAGTTAAGAATGGTGTAGAAAGACAGAAGTCTAAATTCTTGACACTGAATAAGCCTTTGCGTTTAAGAGGCAAGTAAAACAAAAATCAGGTTCACTCTCATGTAAGAAAGAGTGGTTATGTATACATCATTTGGCATAGCAAATAAAAATTAGGCCTAAACCCTAAATCTGGCCCACTCCAATGTTTAACAACCAATTAAACCCATTTAATTTTCTCCTATCCCTTAGTGAAGAAGATCCAATTTGAACTTCTTAAATATTCACTTAATTTTAACATAATTATTAAGTCATTCCACAATCCTCTTGCCAATGCTTTACATAAAAAAATGTTTATATCATGGTCTCTAAAGACTATATTCTGATATATGTGCAACAGTTTCACACTTGATCTTCTACAAAATAATGACATAAGTTTCATTTGTAATCCATTTTGTGTTCCCTAGTGCTGGCAATCTGCCCGTAGCTGAATAATACTTCTACAAATTTGTCATTTTCTCATTGATTTGCTCATTTACCTGTTCCTGAATTTTGATTTCCTGATAATCTCTACACTTGGTTGGAGATGAAGACAAGTCTGAGAGGCAAGTGAATTTTGAAGAATCACAGCTCTCCAAGCTGGGACATGAGGAGGGCCGGCAGAAGGTATAATACTGCTCAAAGTCAGCCTTGACCACAAATACATGCTTGCATTTGTTACACATGTAATCCCGTTCAAACTCCAGGATCTTCACCAGACTTGTTCGAATCACTGTCCCAGTGACAGATAAAAAGTGTCCCACATCCTTCGTTTTAGGGATGTGCTCCCTCACCAGCTCAGGACAAACTGGCAAACCTAAAGAAGAAGAAGAAGAAACTACATCAACCTTCGCATTTGACTCCATGGAATATACTTTTCTCATATCTCCTGAGGAAGAAAGTATAATTTCAGGGTGGAAAAACTCTGAGTTTTACTTAAGAAAAAAAGCAGATGGAGTTAAGAAAATAGAAAAGAATTCTATCAAATAACAGTTATCAGTGGACTCATTTTAAAAGTACATATCTAGATAATATAATAACCAGGATTTAAAAAAAAGGATTCATTCTTATAAGAGGGCTATCTCAGTAGGATCTAAATACAGTATATAATTATAACTACATTCGACAAAGAATATACTGCTACCAGTCACACGTAAAATCAATGTATTACTCTTTTTTAAAAAAAATCTATTTTATTGATTTTTCACAGAGAGGAAGGGAGAGGGATAGAGAGCTAGAAACATCGATGAGAGAGAAACATCGATCAGCCGCCTCCTGCACACCTCCTACTGGGGATGTGCCGCAACCAAGGCACATGCCCTTGACCAGAATCGAACCTGGGACCCCTCAGTCCATAGGCCGACGCTCTATCCACTGAGCCAAACCGTTCAGGGCAATGTATTACTCTTTGAGTAAACCACAATGCAAAGTGATAAAGAGATGGTAGCATAATGACCAAATGCCACAGTGCTAGAAGGCCACTGCTTTTTCAGTTAGGTTCGGGATTCATTAATATGTAAGTCTGACAGTGTTTCCAACCCGTGAATTACCTAGAGGTTTACCCATAGAATCACTTTATCTTTTAAAAACCTTGTGATTTTCACCATTAGTAAAAAAGCAACTTGATAAGTGCCAAAGAAATTTTTTATGTGGAAATGCCCTTTCTCATGTTTGGCTAATGTATCTTTGGAGTAGAGCAATGCTGGCTGTGATAGTCAAAGGCTGCCTTCTAACAGGTTTATCATGTCACATGGTCCACTGTCTAGGCCTCAGAATTTAGTAGCTCTGAAACCTGATAAGTATGCACACAAAAGACAGATCTGTCAAATTTGCCAAGCTCATGAGAAATAATCATAACAGGTATGATTATCCTTTAAGTTTTCGTGGTTAGCACATTTTCTCCCTGAGAATATATCTACTCTGAAAGCCAAATAATAATAATAATCGAAAGGTGGTTTGGGAAGCATGGATTTTTTTTTTTTAAAGCAAATTAGTCAGATGAGCTGAATGCTTAAGGTACCAGATTACATTAATTTAGTGTTGCAGGTTACAAGTCCACAGATACTCGAAATTTCTGTTGCTTGCTGAGACTCGCTTCCATATACTATGTACTATACAAACATGGCGGGCACCGCCAACATTTGCCTCTATGACTTCTTTTTCTATGCTTCCAAGACTGACTTGCCCACTCTCTAATGAAAATATTCTGTATTTATATTGACGTAGATTATATCATATTTTGCCAATAAGGGTCCATACTTTTGCTTAGGATAATTTTTTTTGTATTCTCTGCTCTATTCTGTGTTGCCTTTACAATTTAACTCTCAGAAAACAAACTTATTTCCAAATTTCTGTGGAATGCTTCACGAATACCCCCTGGTGCTATATCAACTGCACAATGAAAATATTTTGAAGTACAAATAACAGTTTTTCTTAGTATTATATATTCAATATGTGTTAAGCTTTCTCAAAAATCTTCCAAAGAGAATAAGATGGCAATAAAATTCTTAAATGATTCACCTGATATCCTGGCATGAAGATTCTGCTTCATGGAGACACCCTCAGGCTGAGAAAGGGACTCGAGAATTGTCATGGCTGATCTTCTCAGTGAATTATCAAAAATAGTTAGTACTTCATTGGGGAATGCATTGAAATACTCCCCAATTTCCATGTTGGTCTCAAAAAGGGTCATGGCATTAATCACAACTGGGTAATGAGCATCTTCATCATTTTCCTTCAGGATTAAAAGAATATCATTCTTATGGTATTCTGAAACATATGACTCAAACACTTGACCAACCAGTGCAATTTGATCACTATTCATCTTGAACCTAGGTAACAGAAGAAAAAAAGAAAGAACTGTATTATACCTTTGTTGCTAGACTTACACACAAATTAACAAAAAATGTGTGATTGTAAATCATCCTGACTTTAGGTCACACTATAATCTCAAAATATTGCCTGAATTTACATTTCAATTAGATCTAAATTATCTGTTATTTGGTAAATGTATTATTTTTAAGTGGGTAAAGAATTATGTTGGTACTGATGATCAACTCCAAAATGGTCCAATGTCTTTCCCCTTTCTTTTCCCAAAATTTCTTCCTCATTAACTCTATATTATGTAAAAGGTCCTTGCCTTTTCTTTAACTAATTTCCACACATACACTTGTTCTCCAGTATAAAATCTTAAGTGCCAGTCTTTTGGCTAAAGTTTCTCCTGGTAGAGTTCTTTGCAAGCGTCCTACTTCTGAGTTTTATTCATATAAAGAACATCTCTCTCTCTCTTTCTCTCTGTCTCTGTAGTTATACACACACAGAGACACACCCATGCATGCATGTATATTCTGCTACATAAACAGAACATACACTACTATTCAGATTGATCACCAGTTATGACTTGAATAGTTATTAGACTGACTTTAGAAATTTCAATTTGGAGGTGAATTTATTTCCTATTTTCTCTTTCTGATCCAGGAAAACTATTGGCTTCAGCAAAAAAACAGCCATCAAGAGTGTAAAAAAAAAAAAGATTAATAAGTACAGTATATTTTATTACATCATCTATCCTATTCCCCTGGTAATAATTTTTTAAAATTTGTATCTACAAATTGTATCTACAGATTAAAAGGGCCTACCCCATTCTGTGTTCATGTACACACAGATACCTACCACGTACAAGGCACTATGCTTTGAAATAAAAGCACAATTAAAAGGTCCTATATCCCCTCAGAGAACTAAGGGACAGATCAATGTAATAGCACTCTAACAGCGGTAAAAAATGTAATATGAATAGGAGCAAAAAGGAGAAAAGGATTAAACTTAAATGGGGTGACAATCCCAAATAAAGTGTCTAAACTTGATCATTTAAGACACTTTGGTTTGGAAACAGAGAGAACACTGGAGAACAAGTGTACATTAATTTGACTTATTTCATTCAACTAACATTGACTGCACTAGGCTCTATAAAAAGAAAGATGAGTAAAGAATCCTGACAACTACAGGATGCCAGTGAGAGGTTAACCCGTGAGTATATGTAAATCAGGGCCACTACATTGCTAAGTAATACGTTTGGGTTAGGGAATATGCACTCAGCCAAGTGAAAAGCAGACAGAGCACCCGGGAAGGAACTAATCATACAGTATTTCCATGGTGCGGCCTTTGCTTTAAAAAACAAAAACAAAACGGTACTCCCAAGAGTGGCTACAAAGATAATCTTTAAGATTCTATAAACGCATATTAAATTTGGAGCCACCAGTTTAGCGATTTAAAAGACAGCTCCACACAGAGCAGGAGGGGGGCAGCCATCGAATTCATGGCTCAAATTCAGGTCAGATTAAACTTCGCCTCGTCTGTTTAAACAGAGCATCTTCTTTTAAAATAGCATTCATTTTCAATAACTGTGCAAAACTGATCAACTGTTTCTAAGGAGACTGCTAACCCAATCAACGTTACACACCCAGATAGATACAAACTGGAGACACTTATTCTTTTGTAACTTTCGAGTCCCCTTTCCGGTTTCTTATTGAAATATTTAAGGTTAAAATACAATGAAAACCAGGAGGGTGAATAAGTGGGGACTGACTACTAGCTGGTTCCCAGGGAATCAACGCCGGTCCAGTGGCCGGGCCGCACCTGCCAGGAGCCACGCCCCCTCGCCTGGGCCGGCCGCTTCCTGGGACCCGCCCCCTCCCCGCCCGCCGCTCAGCCCCGTGTCCAAACGCGCTCGAGCCGCGCTCGCAGGGCTGCTGTCCACGCTGAGATCCCTGGGCGCAGCCTGACCTACAACGCCTGTGCAGGTCTCGGGCACTTCCGGGCTCGGCTCCGGGGCAGCTCGGTCACCGGACCGTCCTGGAGTTGAATAGTTTTGAACTAAGCAAATGTGGGCAAGACTTGGGACGAACTGGGGGAGAAAAAAATAAACACGGGGAAGCGAGGCGGCGGCTGTCACTTACGGGCGAATGCGCAGCGTC